ACCACCGCCACCGCCACACATGCAGGCCCGCCGGCGCCGCGCGCACCGCAGATGTGCCGCGTCAGCTCTGGCGTGCGCTCCAGGCTGAGCCAGATGAAGGACTGGCCGCAGCGCACGCCGCTGGCCACCAGCGGCGGCAGCTCCGCGTCGCTGAAGCGCTGCGGCCAGGCGGGCACCGAGTGCACCAGCCAGCCGATGCGGCCGCGGCTCCACGCCAGGATGCCCTTGCAGTGGCCGTACGTGACGCCGCCCCGCGCGCCGCTGCCCTCTGGCGGTTCGTCGTTGTAGCAGGCCCACCCCGTCCAGCGCTGGCAGGGCGGGGCAGGGCAGGGCGGGGAGGGGAAGCGAAGGAGGGTGAAGTGGTGCGGGAGGTCACTCTGGAAGATGGCCGGGCACGGTACAAAGGGGGCCTCCCACAGGCAGGCAGGCAGGCAGGCAGGCAGGCAGGCAGGCAGGCAGGCAGGCAGGCCCCCTCTCCCGCACCTGGTGCAGCAGCTTGCTCTGCAGCCAGGCGTGCCCGTCCGCCTCCTCCTGCCAGCTGTCGCCAGCGCTGCCATCCACCACCAGCAGCTGCGTCGAGCCCGGCGGCTTGAGCGCCACGCACCAGCTGACAGCGGCCAGCCCCTCGCCCAGTGCCAGCCCCGCCAGCTGTGCCCCCAGCTGGCTCACGGACCCGGGGCTGGCTGGAGTGGCCTGCTGACTGCGCCCGCGTGTCGCCATGGATAGAGGAGAGGCAGACGCAGGGGTGGCGGGCGAGGCTGAGCCTGTAGCCAAGCTGGCCGGCGCAGGTTGCCTCCGGCCGCCCGCCGGCGCTGTCGTGGGCGCAGCATGTGGCATGGTGGCTGCCGCGGCAGGCTGACGGCTGTGCGTGGAGGTGGTGGTCGGACAAGCAGGTGGCAGGAGCGGGCAGGCAAGCGGCCGCTACAGGGCGAGGGAAGGGGGCAACAGGCGGCGCTTCCCGCTGCTCCGCCGCCTCGTACCGCAGTCACTGGTTCCCAAGAGCGCCTGCAGGCATCGTGCCGCGACGTCAATCAGGTCAAGCCTCTTGAGGTGACTCGGGGTGTGCAGCAGCCTCCCCGACACCGAGTACCATCTCGCACATGGAGCTGTAGCCCACCTCACCTGCGATGGGTAGCTTCCAACCCTGCGGCAGTGAGGTTAATGTGGGCTGCGACACACGGGGCGCCAGAGATCCAAGGAGGACAGACTTGTATTGCTGTGGGTGCACGGCAGTCGCTTTGGGGCACGCGTTTCACAGCAGCGTGTGGCCTGCCGTTTGCGCCTCACCTTGGGTACACATTCCCGCAGCTTGGGGGGCTGGCCACTGCCGCCACTTCGCCCTTTAGGCTGCCCACACACGCATCAGAAGCCCCTGCACCGGTGTCGCCCTCACCATGGATGCGTCATGGCAGGGCCTCAAGAAAGACGCCGAGCAGGCCTTTCAGGCTGGCGCCTATGCGGCAGCGGCGGCGGGGTACGAGGCCGCGCTGGTCGCCCAGCTTGATCAAGCTGGGGACGCCTTCTGCCCAAAGGAGGCCGCCAAGCTTGCCAGCAACCTGAGCCAGGCCCACCAGCGCCTGGAGCAGTGGGACGCGGCAGTGGTCAACGCCAGGGAGGCCACACGGCTGCACCCAGAGTGGGAGAAAGGTGGGTGCCGCCGTGCCGCCACGCCCTGCCGCCGCTGCCAGGCGCCCGTCCCCATCCCGCCCACCCGCCTTGGTGGCACTGCTGTGCAGCCTGGTATCGTCTGGGCACCGCCCTCCTGGGCCTGGGGCACGATGCCGAGGCGGAGGCGGCCTTTCAGCAAGGCCTGAAGCTCAAGCCCAACAACAAGCACCTGCGGGACGGCCTGGCCAGGGCGCAGGCAGGCAGCGGCGCGGCAGCAGGCGGCGGCGAGGGCTCAGCAGAGAACCAGTCACCGGCAGCGGCCACGACAGCAGCGGGATCGGCGGCGGCGGCGGCAAAGGGCACGGGCAAGGGCAAGGGCAAGGGCCGCCCCGGCAGCGCTGCTCCCGCCGGCAGCGCGCCCCCAACCCCAGAGTCGTCTGACGCCGGGGCAGCAACACCAGCAGCAGCGGCAGCCGCCCCCGTCCCGGGAGCAGCAGCAGCAGCAGGCGGCGCGGGTGCGCCGCCACAGGACGCTGCGCGGCAGCTGGCGGAGGCGCAAAAGGCGCTGGGCAACGAGGCCTTCAAGGCAGGGAGGTACGAGGAGGCGGTACGCTGCTTCAGCGCGGCGGTACAGCTGTGCCCAGGCACCGCGGTGTACCACGGCAACCGGGCGGCGGCGTGCCTGATGGGGAAGCGGTACCCAGAGGCGGTACAGGACAGCCTCAAGGCGGTACAGCTGGACGCCGCCTTTGTCAAGGGCTACGCCCGCGCAGGTGCGGGGGCTGGGCTTGGGGATGGAGGGAAGGCTGCGCTGCGCAGAGGAGGGCAGTAGGAAAGGCTGGAGGCGCAAGCGGCAGGCGAGGTGTAAGTGGAGTTGAGGAGGGATGGGGCTTCTCGGCGGCACGCGCCGGCAGCGCCCCTGCGCACCGTCATCCACACGCCTCGCCGCCGCCGCCCGCTCCTTGCCCTGGGCGCAGCCAAGGCCGAGATGCTGATGGGGCACTGGGGGCGGGCGGAGGAGCTGTACCGCCAGGCAGTACAGCTGGACCCCACGGTACAGCAGGAGCTGCTGACCTGCCAGATCGGTGAGCTGGTGTAGCTGAGCTGGGCTTGGTTGAGATTTTTGCGGGTGGGGGAGCGGCATGGCTGGCCGCGTGCACCTCTGCACCTGCCAGCTCCTGCGGCGCTTGCCGCTGCTGCCCCGAGGCGAGGGCTCATGGCATGGCATGCTGAGCGTACGCCCTGCCCGCTGCGAACCCCGCAGTGGCGCGCAAGGTGCAGGCGGGACAGGAGGCGCTGGCGGCGGGCGAGGCGCAGCGCGCGCTTGTGCTGGCGGAGGCGGCGGGCGGCGGCTCGCTGCCGGCCGCCGAGCCCGCGGTGCGGCTGAAGGTGGAGGCGCTCATCGCCTGCGGCAGGTGCGCCGCCTGGCCCTGCCCACGCCGAGCTGCTGTGTCCTTGATTGCTCTCCGCCTGCCCCCTCCAATTCCCTCTCCACCTCGCCCCTCCAGCTCCCTCTCACTCCCCTCTCCCTCTCCCTCTCCCTCCCGCAGGCATGCCGAGGCGGTGGCGGAGGCGCGGGCGATGACCTTGCAGGGCGACGCCCAGGCGCCCGAGGTGCTGGCGCTGCGCAGCCGGGCGCTGTACCTGTGCGGTAACATGCAGATGGCGCAGCAGCTGTACCAGCAGGCGCTCAGGTGGGTGCCGAGGGTGCGCGGGCGTGGGTGGGCGTTGCGGCGGGCGGGGCCTGGGCCAGGCCTGGCGTCCTGGCGCCGCGGCGCCTGCCGGCTTGTCCGCTGCATCGCTTGCGGGCCCGGCATGCTCGCCGCCCAGCCTCTTGCAGCGCTGCGCCGCCAGGAGGCTGGGCTCCCAGCCTCCTTTCACGCACTACCCACCCTGCCGCTGCCCCCGCTCGCCTGCCCCTGCCTACCCTATGCCTCTGCCTGCCTTGCCCTTGGCGCAGGCGCGACCCGGACTGCGTGCCGGCGCAGCGCGGCCTGAAGCGCCTGCGGGCGGTGGCGGGGGGCAAGGAGCGCGGCAACGCCGCCTTTTCTGCGGGCGACTATGGCGAGGCGCACTCCCAGTACAGCGCCTCGCTGGCCGCCGACCCTGACCTGCGCACCCAGTTTGTGGCGCAGGTGGGAGGGCCCGCGGGGGCCGGTGGGCCCCTGGCCTGGGCGTCTGTTTGCCAGCCGCGTACCGCCGGCCTGGATCTGTTGCCTTCTGTTGCCCAAAACCTGGAGCAGCGTGTCGGGGTGGGCAGCACAAGAGCACCGCGGCGACTTCGGCGCCGGAGGCGCGCGCCGTGCCCGCCCCACGGCCGCGCCTCCACTTTCCTGCGCCTCCCGCCGCCCTCCCTCTGCGCCGGCAGGTGGCATGCAACCGCGCGGCGGCGGCGGCCAAGCTGGGGCGGCACGAGGAGTCGCTGGCCGACGCCGAGCTGGCCATTTCCATGGATGCATCCTACACCAAGGCATATGTTCGCAGGGCCCAGGTGGGCGCGCCGCCAGCGTGGCGCTGCCAGCGTGGCGCCTGTCTCACCAACGCGGCGGCGGAAGCCAAGGAATTGCCTGCCCACCGTCGTGCACGCCTGCTGGCAGCACTCCCCGCCAGCGAATGCACCGAGACGCCTCCCCTCCTGTAGCCCTCACAGCCACGCCGACCTGGCGCTTGCCCTGCAGGCACACCAGGAGCTGAAGCAGTACGATGCGGCGGTACGAGACCTGGAGCAGGTGGCGGAGATGGAGGAGGGATACCCAGGTGGGCGGTGGGCAGCTCAGGAGGGCCTGCCGACAACTGTGTTTGCGATTGCGTCGGCGAGCCGCCTGAGCGGCCAGCAGCACACTCCAGCTGCCGTCAGCAGGCTGCAGGGCGGGCCGCAGCGGCGGGCAACCCTGGCTCTGCCAGCGTTCTAGCTGTCGAGCTGCAGAGAGGCCGCACGCGGCGCGCGCGCGCCGGCGCCTGCCCCGCGGCGACGGCTCCGCACGACTCCCACCCGGCTCGCTCCCACGCCGCCGCGGCTGCTGGTGCAGGGCTGGGCGAGATGCTGCGCGACGCACGGCTGGCGCTGAAGAGGAGCAAGCGTGTGGACTATTACGGCGTGCTGGGGGTGGAGGCGGATGCCGGGGAGGATGGCATCAAGAAGGCGTACCGCAAGGCCGCGCTGAAGTACCATCCGGACAAGGTACCGCACATGTGCAGGCCTGGGTGGCCTGGGGGGTCTGGGTGGTGCTTGTGCGGTGTTGCGGTGCTTGTGTGGTTTTGCCTGTACGGCTCCTCTGCCGCCTGCCTCGCCTGGGATTGGGGGTCGGGCTTTGATGGCGAGCGACGAGCATCGTCCCTCCCTCCTCTTGGATGCCCACCCACCGCCGGCCTGCCCACACCGCCCCCGCCGCCGCTGCGCTGCGCTGCAGGTCGGCGAGGAGGAGCGGGAGGCGGCCGAGGCTCAGTTCAAGCTGGTGGGGGAGGCCTTTGCCGTGCTGTCCGACCCGCAGCAGCGGCGGCGGTACGACGCGGGGTGGAACCTGGAGGTACAGGGGGCAGCTTCACATGTACTGCACCCTTGCCCCAGCTTGATCTCAAAGCTAGACGTTGACATGGCCCCGCTGCTGCTTGTTTCTGTCTGTGTTGGATGCCGTGCAAGTCCCGTGGCCGGCGGCGCCAAGGCATTGAGTCTGCCGCCGGCCACACACGCCTGCGCCGTGGCCTGCACCCGTGCAGGAGATCCAGCAGGGGTATAGCAACGAGGGCGGCGGCTTGGGCGGCTTCCCCGGCAGGGGCAGCGGCTACGCGGGGTTTGACGAGGAGGAGCTGTTTGCCCAGATGTTTGCCAGCCGCATGAGCGGCGGGTACCCCGGCGGCGGCGGCAGCCGACGCTACTCTGGAGGCGTCCCCGGTTACCGCCCCTTCTGATGTACAGCTGCTGTGCATCTGCCCCCTTCTGATGCCCTCTGGTGTACAGCTGCTGTGCATCAACTTGAGCACCCGCTGATGCCTGCGGGGCTGGCCCAACCAACCCGCGTGATCCTCCTCCCTCTGTACCGTACCTCCGTACTGCATGCATTTCGTTGCAATTTAAGTAGGCCGCTGATCAAACATAAGCAGTTACACCCATTGAGCGGACGCATCGAGCCACCAAAAGAATCAACTCTCCGCATGTAATGCCGTGATTCCGTCAGCACACCGTTGCAGCCTGCTGGCGCAGGCCCACACCCGCCTCAGCCATCCTCAGCCATGGGTCCTGCTGGCGCCTGCTCCGCCGCCGTCAGTCGTTGTCCCCGCCGCCCAGCTGGCGCTCTACGCTGGTGGGCTGCTGCCCAAAGGCCTCCCGGTTCTGAAGGTACCGCTCCAACGCTTGCCGCTGCTCCTTGCATTTGTCGTACCCTGCGTCGGGAGATGGGCACCGCGTCAGGCAACCGTACGCCTGCAGGCATCCTGCAGGGCGCGGTGCGGCGGTTCTCGCTCACCATTTAAGAGGTCCATCACTGTGCCAGCCAGGCCCAGGTAGACTACAGGCATGTAGCTCTGCAATCAGGGTACATGAGGCGGTTGGCGGCGGCGGCGGCGGCGGTGGCGGCGAGCCTGCTGTGCAGTGCCGGGGCCCCACTGACCTTCTGCCTAACTCCCAGAGGCACCGCCAGAGCCACTGCGACCACTGTACATAACCAGGACGATTCGAGCACGCAGTCGCTCAGCGCCGATGTCAGCTCCTTCTCTTTATGGTCGGTCATGGGACGATAGCCACTTGATGGCGGTCCCGGAGCCATGATGAGTCCCGCGGCGACCTTGTTAGAGCTCAGGTTTGGGGGAAGAAAAAACCTGCACCGCCAGCGGGGCACCCAGTCTTTCTGCGCCCCTGCTGCTTTCTGCCAGTTCTGCCGTCCGTAATCGAGTATGTAAGTCATGGCATAACTGCCAGCCTTCGACTGTGGTCCAAGGCTGCGACCTGGATGCGGCGTGTGGCTCTCACCCTGTGCTGTCTGTGCTTCTGGGCTGCAGCAGGTGAGCGGGGAAGAGCCATCGGGGCCACAGATGCGTGCCACTCTCCCACCCTTCTCCCGCCACTGCGCGCAGGTTCCGTCAGCGGCAGACGCCTCCTATTGGGGTGAGATCATCCTGCCGCCGTGGGGCTTCTCCGTGTGGACAACTGAGTCTTACTGATATGCCTTGGTTGCCTGCAGGCGGACACGGGAACCCACCCGGCGGCTGCAGCAGGAGGGCCCTCCCTCCAGCGGTAGCGTCGATTCGGGACTGCTGGATGCCTTGCAGAGCATCCAGGGTGGCCTCCCTGCGCCCTCGCAGCCTCCAGCAGACCCCACTCCTGCAGGCGAAAGTGGGTCGGCGGCGCCGGCAAGCGACGGGGCGGCGGCGGCAGCCCCAGCTCTGGCAGCCAGCGGCAGCCCATCCACCGGCAGCGCTGGGCTCTGCACCGACCCTTTCCTCCTTTCCTCCACCATGTCGACCTTCTGCAGGGTAAGGCCTGGCCTGCTTCCGCGCCGCACAGCTATCTCACACTTTGGGCCTGCCATGCTTCCTGGGCGGCTAGCCAAGCATGCTGCATGTACCGAGATTGCCACAACAAGGTACTGCCAACTACTGCCTGTGTTCTCGCCTACCTCCAACACCTCCAGACTCTGGCCCCTCCTGTCCTCGACAACTGCCCGCCCTTGCAGCTGGACTCACTGGACCAGCTGGCCTCCATTTCTCAGGAGGCGGTGCAGGCCTGCTGCCGCCTCACCTCTGCCACGCTCCAGCCGGGCTGCTGGGATGCATGCAACCCGCCGCAGGCGGTGTCGCCGCAAGTGCAGGTGGGCCACGCTGGCAGCGCCACAAGCAGGCTGCGGCCTGGCAGGCTGCTGTGCGCCTGCCTGCAGCCTGGCCTGCAGCCTGGCGTCAGCATCAAGGCAGAGAGGCGTTCAGCGTGAGCACGCATCGCCCTGTCTTAAGGTACACCATTGTCCCGGGCGCAGGATACTTTACGGCTCTGGCGCAACATCTGCCTCATCAGTGTGCCAGTGATGTGTGGCGAACCCACCAGCCCCCCAAGCGGCTGACTGCCAGCGGCCGGGATGCCTGCGGGCTGGCAGCGGCCTGTTGGAGAGCACCAACGCGACTTGAGACTTGATTGCATACATGATTTCAGGGGGTGCAAGCAGCACAGGGTGCGTACAGTCAACATGGCGCAGGCAGAATTGACAGCGGGGATGCTGACAGCTTGGAATCAATGATCACTGTGGGCCGGGAATCCGTGACTTCTGCTAATGAGAGTGGTCTGAGAAGGGGACAGCGATGCAAATTAAAAATGGAAGGGAAGCGAGGAAGCCTGCAGCGCTGCGCAGGAGCAACGGCAGCAGCGAGCATGGCGGGTCGCACGGCCCTTTGGGATGCAGTGGCCGGCTGCGTCACGGGATCAGTCGGCAGGGGACGCTGCTCCTAGTAGCGGATTGCAATGCAGGGCAGTGTAGTACAGCCGCGGCTGTGGTTAATCAGAACTGGCTCCCGGGCCTAGACGTCGTCAGCCACAACAGCGTAGTAGGCGTCGGCGGGCACCCCGCAGGCGTGGTTGACTGTGCGCGACACTTTGAAGTAGCCCTTCTCGCCCCAGTGCGTGCTCCACGAGTTCTTCACCTCCCTGCAGTGGGAGAGAAAACAGCAGCTCAGGTTGCCATCAGCCCAGGATTTACCTCCCTACAGGGCGAGTGGCAGGAGCAGCTCAGGCTGCCATCCACCGGCGCAGGGGCGGCACGGCGGGCGGCGACGGCGGCGCGGCGCGAGGGCAGCGCGGGCGGCCGGGCAAAGCGGGGAGGGGAGCGGGCACGCCTCCCTCCCGCGAGCCCCAGCGCAGCGCAGCCCGCCCCTGCGCACCAGTAGTCCCCGGCCTCGTTGGTTCCGTAGCCCACCAGCACCATGGAATGATCCAGCTCATCGGGCTTCCAGGCGCACTGCAGCAGGCGGTGTGGTGGCGGCAGCCTCGGTGGTGGCAGCCTCGGCGGTGGTTGCTGGTCGCTCGCCGCTGGCCGCGCCTGTCTCACCCAAGCACGCACCCCATCGCACCCCACCAAACCGAACCGCACCACACCCCACCACACCCCACCGCACCTCTGTGTCCACATACACTCCCGACGAGAAGAAGCGGAAGGAGGGGCGGGAGGCGTCAAAGGAGATGGCGAGGGGGCCGCGCGAGTAGAGCGCCTCCATGAGGGCGCCGTCGTCGCAGCGCGGCACGCGCGCAAAGCCCTGCGGAGGCGGCCGGTGGGGGCGGGCGGCGGTGTCTTTGCGAGCATGGCATGCGCAAGTGTGCGGTGTAGAGCGTTGTATGTGTGTGGGTGTGTGGGGTGTGTATGTGGTGGTGGGGGGACAGGGTAAGTGGTGTGCGGTGTAGTGTGAAGGCGTGTATGGGTGAGTGTCGGTGTGTGTCTGTCTGTGGTGGATGGGTGCCCGGCGCCCGGCTTGCCTTGAACTTGCCCAGGCGCTGGGTCTGGTTGGCCAGGCAGTAGCCGTCCTGCCCCCTGTAAGGGTAGTCCTGGTTGGCTGCGATGCCGCCTGCCTCCACAATGTGCGCAATGGCTGCGGCAGGGGGGTGCAAGGCGCGGCTGGGGTGGAGAGCGAGGAAGGAGGCGAGGGCGCCAAGAGCAGGGAGCAGCAGGCACCCTGACGCACGAGCGGCATCAGGCCAGCGCGGCAGGCCAGCCCAGCTGCACAACGCCCCAGCGCAGCGCAAGGGCGTGCAGGCGATGGGCAGCACCCCACCCGCATCCGGGTCGCCGCCGTCGCAGGCTGCAGGGCAGGGAGGGCGGCAGCCGGCGAGGCGCTGTGGGCGGCGGCAGGCAAAGCGCTATGCCAGCAGCGGCAGCCGCGGCCCTGCAGCCTGCGACGGCGGCGACCCGGATGCGGGTGGGGTGCTGCCCATCGCCTGCACGCCCTTGCGCTGCGCTGGGGCGTTGTGCAGCTGGGCTGGCCTGCCGCGCTGGCCTGATGCCGCTCGTGCGTCAGGGTGCCTGCTGCTCCCTGCTCTG